AATTGCGCAGTAGTGTACATTTCCGCCAAACTTTATGTGCTGAGTTCTTTGGGGTTGTACTGGTGCACGTGAAATCTTAGGATACTTGTGTGTATACGTTACAAGGTACCAGTCGAATCCAGAATGTTCGTGGCGTGCACAACTCCCAATACATGTAACCAAAAAACTTGAAGGATACACTTTTACTTTAAATATAACCATGGTTGCAAAAATAAAGACAACCACGAACGAGCAAGGAACACAGACCTTGCACAGACCAAGGAGCTCGTTCTTAATTAATCCTCCATGATCACACCCACACACCCAGACTTGTTTCACATACCTAGTGTGGACTTTCCTTTCTTTTCGTGTAGTTAAGGAACACCAGTGGAAAAACTCATTTTTCTCAAACTGTGAAAACTCTTACAACCCAATTTTTTTCAATGATTCCCTTTAGTGTTTCTCTTCATTCTGCTACAGATAAACCTAACCCAAAAATGCCTCTAAACCTGTTTTCCAGAAATGGGGAAACACTGTGTGGACGTGGGCAAGTCCACACTTCGTCGCTGCTACCTACATTATGTGGACGTCTTTTGTTCGGAAGTCCACACTGCGTATGTAAGACAAGCTCACCCACACTCACACACACACACGTACGACGCTGGGTACACAAATCAGAGTGCTTGCAAGACCATGGAATGCAATGACCATACTCTCTATAAGCTCAATAGCTTGACCCACAGGAAGTGTTACATAACACATTCTTGGGTGTCCCTCACTGTGTTACATATGGACTTGTAGACTTCAGAACAGCTCGAGGAAAAGTAAGCACAGCGAACACATGAGCATGTATCGTGCTCATGTAACGTGCTCAATTATCCATCACATTCACCCGGAGAATCTAACACGCCGGAGAAGTGAGACCGTGACACCGGAATACGCTCAGAATGCGCACTGCATACTGACCTATTCGCAGCCAGAAAAATAATGTTGTGCACTGCATACGCAACTCATACGCATCTCATACGCAATGGATGCGCTGAATTCGTTACTTGTACGCTGGTCAGAGTATTCAAAAAAGTTCGACGTGTTGAGCGTACGGCTGTGTATTGAAAATTTTTGATAAGGAACTCATAAGGAATTAGGATACGCGAAAGTGTGATATATAGGGGCTTTAGATTTTAAACACTTTTGTTGCTTCAAACGAACAAAATGCACTAATTACAAATGATGGACTTTAGCTTAAATTGAGCGTACGGCTGCGTATTGAACATTTTTGATAAGGAACTAATAAGGAATTAGGATACGCAAAGGAGTGACAGGGGCTTAATACGCTGACCTCCCGGCACGCACCCCGTCAACATATGAGCCGCCTATATTGGACGTATACATAGCGTACTTGCAGCGCAGATACAACGCACGCTGAACGAACTCATAGCGAATGCCGACGTATTGCGTCGGAAGGGCGTCAGGAATGCGGTCGGCATAAGTCGGGTGCGTCCGGAATACGCTCAGCATGCGAACTGCATACTGACCTATTCGCAGCCCGAAAAATATTGTTGTGCATTGCATACTTAACTCATACGCATCTCATACGCAATGGATGCGCTGAATTCGTTACTTGTACGCTAAATATGCGTCGCACATAAGTCAAAGGAATAAAACAATTTCGACGTTTTGAGCCTTTGCTTAGGCGTTGTTTAGGCGTTCGGGGTCTTCTCCGTGGGCTGCACCGCTTTTTGCATATTATTCCACCAGTGACTTGATCGAGTATGGGTAAAAATCATAAGTAGATTTATATGTCAAAATAATTATGATATGTTCTCTGTTAGCATATAAATATATAATTATAAAGTTTATATTCTATTCCTGAATGATAAACATGTAAATTTTATTTATTTGCTTTGGTTTTGTAGTCTTTTATGGACTGGATCTTTTTGCTTGGTTGGATCTTTAAATTGGATATGTTAACGGATATGATCTTTTGAGTTGAAGAAGAAATATATCAGCGTTTGAAGATTAATTGAGTCCACTCTTTCAGTTCCTTATCCTAAAAAAGTGAGGGTCGTGCCTGGACCCTGATTCCAGGGACAAAAATATCCTTACATATTCTAATGCAAATTTTCATATTCATGAAAAATAGCGCAATGTCATATTAGGCAGAAAACTATATTGCTGCAAATTGTTTGCGCACAAAAAGTTGCCAGAGTTTTGGATATTTCGCTGTTGAATATGTTTTTTTCTTTGAAGATTCGTTGCTGTTAGTAAATGGCAGTTGTGTTAGTAAATGGCAGCAAGCTAATCAGCAAACTTGTCTCATAAATGTTATCAATGCGCAGATTTTTGGATTCACATTTGTACACAAAACCCTTAAATTGAACAGTGTCTCCCTGAAATGACATCACGGCAACATCGCCCTCAGGTGTCCAAAAACATAGCAATTGTATTCGTTTAAAGAAAATAGTGTTTGATTAGTGACTCTTTTCTCACTAGAGGACCAAGCAAGAGGAAATGTTAGTAGTTGATTAATGTGTCTTTACTCACACAGACCTCAAACAAGATGACATGTTAGTGTTCGATTTATTAGTGGCTCTTTTCTCACACAAGGACACACAAGGGCACGATAAGCCCTCCGGATACGAGAGCTTGCAGCTAAATATCAGCAAAAAGTCTTGATGGTTTTTCTGCATTTGTAGTTTTGCTTGGAAGGGGCGACGGAATCGGGGAGGGGGCAGGGGAACTTCACCACACTGTAAACAAAACCCGTAAAAACACTGTCCATTTTTACGGGTTATTACCGTTATTGCTCAAACCGTCACAAGAAAGAACATGTTGCGTGAATTTCCCGTAAAACTTGGTGACCTGGAATTCACAATGCTTTTGTATTTGTAACCTTTCAAACCCTCATAACCGGTTCTTTTTTTAAAGCTGCGATTCAAAAACACACCTTGTCTCGCAAGGTTTGCTACGTGCTTAAAGGGAATATACATCATTTGCTTTTGCTGTAATTTTCAGAAATGGATGAAATTGGGGGGGGGGGGGTGGAAATATATAGCAAATATAGTTACACTGACTTTTTTGAGGTTTTGGGTTCTAAAATGCTATAAAAACCAAGAAAAACAATCATTTTCATGTAGTCTGGTTCCCTGACTCCATATAAAAAGAAACAGAGCAGTTTACATACATTGGGGAATTGTAATGTCAGGGAACCAGTCTAGCTAGCTTGTACCCGTTTGTAGGTGTGTAATCGATTGCAAACAAGTGCGATGGTCAATTGGGGCCAGTATTTGAGAAAAAGCCATTTTTTTCCAACGCTGGTCGGCCGACCAGCGTTGGAAATTGATACAAAAATACAACTTTTCTTGAAAATGACAGTTCTCCAGGTGCCATGATTTTACAGGATGCTTTACACTGTCATTCACTAACAGTCCAGCAAGGTATTTCAAAATGATGTGGTAGTTTTATTTTTTGATGTTTGCAAATGTTGTATTTTCCCTTTAATACATGCAAAGCTTATCATTGTGCTGTCAAAGCCGTAAAGCTTTGATATTGCCGAATTCGGAGAGCCAAGCAGCTAATCCTGCGGTATTGACAATAGGTCGACCCATTTCTGATGGATCAGTAAAAAGATGTAAATGAAAATTAAATTACAACTTACTGATGCAAGTTAAGTTACAACTCAAAGATTATTTCACCTTAAATGAAAATGATATGAAAATCAACATGCGTGTAAAAGACAACCTGTAAATCTACAGCTTGTCTAAAAGCATGCATACCCAACTCCCAGCTGCTGTAACTGTAACTTATCTCCCTACACCTCCCTCGTGCACTAAGCCCAATGCCACACGATTTGTACTCCATTATCTAACGTCAAATTACCGTCAAATTCACGGGAAGTTTGTGATAAAATTACGGTCACCGTCATTTAGGAAACCCGTAAGTGACCGTAATTGTGTTTGTTTGGCAACCCGTTTGACGATGTTTTTACCGTAACATCACGGGTAATTTCTTTACAGAGCAGGCAACACAATTTCCCCTCTCGGGGTTATAAATGTGCCCCCTCGAGATGTTAATAACACTGCCCCTTAAACGCACACGTAGAAAAACATATGATCGCGCTACAAATTGAATTGTCTCGTCTCTTGTAAATTCAATGCAATACTGCCCCTTTAAAACACAAGTACCCCTCTCACATTAACAAGATTGAGCACCTTCTTGAAATTAAAAACTACCCTTCGAAATCACAGATACCCCCCTCGCTATATTACAATTGTGCCCCTCGAGATTGAAAATTGGTTGTCAAAAACAATAGTGCTCCTTTCGCGATAACTTCTCGAGATGGAAAACTGCTCCTCGCGGAAAGGCAACATTACATTTGCGCCCCCTCCTATGGATGGAAAACTAACCCCCAAAATAATAGTTTTCTTCACGCGAATAAATAAAGGCAACAGTGCCTCTCTCACAAAAGTTTTCTTAACAAAACTAGGTAACAATGTAAAAAGAGCAAGATGGACAACGTATTTATAATTTGTTCCTCGTCATATATGTTTGTAGCGAAATGAACGGGACAATATTCTTTTTTGTACCATTTCACACAGACTGAAGATGCAAATTTTTCTGAGCAAGTGCCCCTTTTGGGTGTTGCCCCCACCCTGTTTGTATGTATTAAATCAATGTAATTTAATGTTTAATTGAATCAGTCCAGTATATTTGTGCTGTGTGATTCCGATACGAATAACATACACGCCTTAATACTTCAACACATAGTTATTGCAACATGAAATTTTCACTTACCAATCCCATCTGTGGTTGTTGGTTCGAAAGTGGTGGTTGGTTCGGGAGTGGTTGTTGGTTCCGGAGTGGTGGTTGGTTCCGGAGTGGTGGATGGTTCCGGAGTGGTTGTTGGTTCCGGAGTGGTTGTTGGTTCCGGAGTGGTTGTTGGTTCCGGAGTGGTGCTTGGTTCCGGAGTGGTGGTTGTTTCCGGAGTGGCGGATGGTTCCGGAGTGGTGGTTGGTCCCGGAGTGGTGGTTGGTTCCGGAGTGGTGGTTGGGCATGAGGCATCCGCTATGATTAGGATTCCTGTACAATCATAAAACAATTTAAATTAATTCTCCATTACTGGATTATTATTAAACCATTTATCTAAATTATCTGCCGCCATATTGAGATGTTTTCACATACTTTTAAATCTTACGTGCACTTACTTCGAGAACAAACAATTGTTCTTTTCAACAAATATAAACAGCTATTGTTCAGAGAGATGGCGATTTGTTTTACCTCACTTGAGAAATGTCAATACCAAAAAAATAGGGAAATCGTGCAGATTCATTTTTCAGTATTTTATTTTTAATTTTGTAAAACTATTAATAAAAATGTATGAAATATATATTGATGTTTTTCTTGGAAAGAATTGTTTCTTTTTTTATATTTTGTGGCTGGCTCATGACAAAAAAACATATTGACTGAAAACTTAAGTTTGACTGAGCTGTTTAGCACCGGTACATCGCTTATAGATACAAATGGGGAAGAACAAAGGCCAGCACAAGCTGCCAAGGCGATTTACACGTATATTCGTGGGAAGCATGGAATCATTGTCAGGGACAAGTAGTGGATGCAATTTTTGGATATGAATGAGGTGATGGACATCCAGACTGATCATGTTATAGAACAAATATGACCCGATGTTGTTGTCACCATTATGTGTCATATTTAGGGGATGGGGAGGATTCCCCCTTTGAGACATTTAAGCTATTATAGGCCGGCCAGGTGACTACAACGTAAGTGTTAATTAAGCAAAATCCGAAAGGTCGCCGTCATGCAAATGACAAGCTATTGGCCAATAATAACCTCGCATGTTGCATAAGGCTTTTATGGATTTTCCCTTTGAAAGTCTAATGGTAACTTAATTTGTCGGGCCTCGTATTGCCCAGCGTTATCTTCAACCGGTTTGTTCGTGAATGCTATCAAGAATGCTTATCTAATATTTATCTAAGGCTTAACGATGTGTCTCTGATGTCGTATATTTTGAGACAAAAATAACACATTTTATCTTGGTGTAAGAAATTGAAACTATAATGTGCCTTATTATAAAGAAGTAACCTTACACCTAAATTACACACACAGATAGAGAATCACAAGAGAAACGACAGGTACGTTCAACTTCCATTGGGGCATTAATAATAAAGATGGAAGAACATCAAGCGGCCTGTTTCCACACAAAAATGTCTGCACTTACCATTTATATAAACATCATAGAGATAGATCCTGACTTCCAGGAACACACAGGCCATTGATTCTGCCAGGTCAGTTTCGTTACAAACTGAACTTCTGATGTCAAAAGAAACTGTTATCTCGTCTCCAGAACTGAACTCAACTGTGTTTGTGAGTACCTCGTCGGTGGGACAAATTTCCATCATGTTTTCACCACTGAACTACAAATGATGAAACAAATTGGAAATTAGAGATAATATCGAATTATTGTTATAGTGTAGGACAAATCGCAAAAATGGTGCGAAATATATAAAAGCCTATGCTGTAAGAAACTTAATGTTCACAGTACATTTGGTCAATACTTCTAAACACACCACTTTTTTAAGAATATGTTTTGTAGCTTAACGGTACAGTAGATCTTGTTTCTTCATGTGTGCATTTGTTTCGTTTAAAACAACATTAACAAAGGGGCTCACAATCTGAGGGAGGGTGCTTAACAACTAACCCGATGAAGTGTTAGCTGTGTATTCTTAGAAGATAATATTCTAAGATCTCGATTTCAATTCAAAAGTTGCCTAGTCATTTTGAATTGCACCCGGAATCAGCATCGTTTTCAGCCGATTGCAGCTTCGCGATGTTGTCACGCACTGACCCGACGAAATAGAGTAAGTCGGTGGCGAGAATTCGGCTTAAATGGGACTCTGTGATGCAATTACATCTGCATCCTCAAATTCAATCATCGTAATAGAACTTAAACTTATTTTAGTTCTACATCTGCGAATTTGCAGACTATCAGCTGTTTTGAGCACGCGACGTTCATGTGAGTTGCCATTAGATTGTCATGATTGTTGTGTTTACTGCTGTTTGTGTTCGTGATGTTTACAGCATAGTCCGAACAAATCCAAGACATTATAGGGACGCATAGGACCCTCGGCTTGCTTCGGTTGCTATGCGCCTCTTGGATGTTCAAAACGTCATATCCCAAATCACACCAGTCAACAATTGCTAAGTGTCGATCGTGTACGCGCATTTCATAAACGTATAGTCATATAGCTAAATGAAACAGTCCTCCAGCACGTCACCTAGCGCACAAAGCTTCAAATGTGCACTGAGTATTTGCGCGCTGCGCACAAACGTTGGCGTGCCACTTTCAATTGCGGTTACGATAATTATATTTTCTACAAACTTAAAAACCTCTGTTGTTCCGATGCCGTATAATTCATATAACACTGAATTCCCGTCCAGAGTTTGCAGCTTAGTAACTAGTAATAACTTCAAAATGAGCTTTACACGGGTGACATTCCGGACAATTCGCTTTCATAATATAACATTAAAGTTCCAATTTTAGGAAAATGACGAATATTTGAAATTGATTAAACAAAGGTGAGTGTTTGGAATATATTTTCGTAGTATTGTATTACCAAAAAAAATGGCAGATCCTTCACCATCAGTTGTATGGGGAGATATAAAGGCTATTATAAATTGTTACGTTCAATTTGACCCATTTTCGTACACGAAAACAAAAAAAAACAGTCTTGATACTCACCGCATTAATGACCCTGGAACTTAAATTCTTGTACTCATCTGTTGTGTTATCTAGGTAACCAGTATCGAAAGTAGCATTCATGCCATCAATGTGAGTAATGCAAAACCGCACTGTGTAGGTTGTCTCGTCTAAAATGCAAAACAAAACCATACGTATACAATGTGCAATACGATCATGTGAGTTTTGGGGATAAATATTAGAGAACAATCATGCATTTGAATAGAATAAGAAAAAAAATGCCAAGACATTTGCTAAAACTAAGAAGCACATCTACTCTTAAGAGAAGGTGGGGAAACTCCCCCATCCCCCGATTGAAAACAAACAAACAAACAAACAAAGAAACAAGAAAAGTAAGTTACTCTTAATCAATACATTCTCGATATGCGCCATAATGCAGACGAAAGCATCTGTTAGATTTCACATTTTCGATAGGAAAAATAGCCTTCCCAAAGCCGGGACATGCCTTTTTCCATATTACACATCCAATCAAAACAAACCTAAATAATTTAAGGTGGTTCACGGAAAAATATAAAACCTGGTATGAACTTCAACCCTGGTGCGAATATGTGAACAATATTTTAGACGATATCATGATGTAATCAGCTATCAAATCACAAGTAATTAAGGTGGAAAACTAAATAATTTAAAGTTAGGATTGAAAGTATGCCTATGGCGATTTAAAGATGTTTAAGCCTAGGAAGAAAGCGACAAATGCTGGACAATTTGAGGGAAATGACCCGAATGTTTGGACCCATGTATATGTTCAATGGACCGCTCTCGCATCTTGCGGCCAGGCCCATGTATAATTATGAATTGATTAATAACAAGTTCACGTGCACAATAAGCTCTGGCGGTCTTGCATGAGAGTCTTGCATGAAATCTACCAAAATAGTCACTGTCAAAGCTTAAAAATGCAACGCCCAAAATGCAACGCCCAAAATGCAACGCCCAAAATGCAACGCCGGGCTCCTTTCCGCACACCAGTGCCAAGAAATAACCGTGTGGTTTAGGGTAACATCCACACTGGCACAATATGATTTCATCCTGCAACGGACGGTGACGTTGACCGGAGAATGTGCACATAAGCCCGGGCCGCCGCCCCAAACGAAAATCACGCTGCGCTATTTACCACGTGACTTATAACATTGCTGCATTTTTGTTAAGTTTTACAATTGTTTTGTTGTTGTTTGTTGGGGTGTTGGGGGTGTTTGTTTGTTTGTTTGTTTGTTGGGGGTGTTGGGGTGTTTGTTTGTTTGTTTGTTTGTTTGTTTGTTTGTTTTGGAAAATGTCAATGTACTTGGTTTTTACCGGAATCAATAGGGGCCTTATTTTAGTCTATTTCCGGACACAGACATAATTATGCAAAAATAAAGGCGCATGCGCATCGATCTAAACAAAACTGGTGCTTGGAAACTTTCTGCAAGTGTGTATTTACACGACCACGGCATGGCATCTGAACAATTAGTCAACTGTCATTGGTCGAATATTTGACCAGAAAGACCGACCGACCAACCAACAAGTGACATGTAGAAGCTCCTGCCAGAGCTTAAAAAAGGTCAATTGAGCTTGTGGCTGTATGATCTGCGTGATCACGTAACCGTAGAGCAGGGTTCTCTGGAGGTCCACTTGTCTAGTCGGACGGCATGTACACGGTTTGCGTACGGACACTGCGTATATCTTGAACAATAAATTTTGACGGATTACATTTAGAAAATCCCTTCCGTAAGAATGATCGCCAATCTGGAACACTAATAATTTAATTGAACATTCTGTGCACTGTTTGGACCATTGTCTAAATTTAACCACGAGAAAATAGCCGTCACGAGAAAATAGCCGACCGTGGGCGCCGCCATATTGATTTAAACCAAACGTAAAACTATAATCTCTTTGATAAATCGTAATTTTTTTTAGAATTGTTAAAAATGGTTTATGTTTTATACATTCAAAAAAACTTCGGGTTGCCTAGCATATTCATATTTCATCCTGTACACAAGATATTATTAAAGTAAGTGATTTCAAGGTGCCTTTTTGTGCATTGCCTAATCCTTTCAAACAACATATATAATAATATGACAAGAGTTCAAAGAAATTTGATGGAAATACCTATTAATTTTCCACCTGAACAGGTATCTGATCGTTTTTGGTCCAAGTTTTAAACCTTTACAGTACCATAATTATGCCAAAATATTAAAGAAATTGCACAAATGAAAGATAATTGCAAAGGAGGCTTACAGCAAAAAATGTTTCACTGTTTGAAGTACTTGTGTACAGGATAAAAAAAGACTACTTTGATCAAAGTGCAATTTCATGATATTTTTTTAGTGAGAAATAAATCTTTCAGCTTTGATCTCATACCCAAAACATCAGAATCCAGTAATCAAAGGCAAATGTTTTAGGCTTGCATTTTTTGGATCATCATGTATAGTTCAGATAATCCGACTTATCATCAATGCAAGCATTATGATGTCTGCACAGCTGCAACAAAGCTGTATGAGTTGTTGAAATTTAGTTGAAATTAACTGATCAATGCTGGTCCAACCTGAAGAAAATTATTTTTTTTTTATATTGCAACAGTGCTTAACGTTTCGTGCTTTGGTATTAATGCATCAAGGCCAGTTCAGGGGAAACAGGCAGCAATTTAAGATGTTGAGATTCTATTTGGGAAGCTAAAATGTCATTCCTTATAAGTGAGGAACCTGTTACCAAGCAACCATATTCCAATATTACAAGTATACAACCGTTTTCCGCATGTTCGACTATCCCGAGTCTCATCTCTTGTAACTTTCATAATTCATCTCTCAATAATATATGAGTTGTATCTCTCACCAATATGTGTATTCGCAGGTATCTATCAGCAATGTGCAAATGTGTCATCTCACCACCTTATTTTTTTTCATTTAGATATTTTTTATTCATATCTCACTAACATGTGAATATGTATCTGTCATCAATTTCTTACTTTTAGCTATTACTGACCATATATTAATTTACTTTTTGTTTATTTGAAAAGTATGTGAATTTATATCTCACCACAACTGCAGATTCCTGGAGTATCGGTTGATCCTGAAGGAGTGGTTGTTCCTGTCAACAGGTAGATAATGAAAATGGTAAGTACACGGACGCACATGGCAGTATAAACGCAACGGGTCTAGTAAACACATTCTTTTCATACAAATACATACTCATGAACATCTACATTGTTTCCATAAATTGGCCAATACAAAAATGTTCCAAATGTGGAAACTATTGTTTTAGTGAAGTTTTCACTAAAACAAGAATCATTCAAATCACTCATATGCTTTTTAAGTTACGGAATTTTAAACATATGCACCGTTTTAAAGTTTTGTCCACGGATCACAAAAATGCGTCCGTTATCTCAGCAAAACGAAACAATTCACACATGCACATCCCTACGTGATTTGTTTTCGTTTTGCCGAAAGAACACCTACCGTCTTGTGATCCGTGGACAGAACTGTACAACGGTGGTTTTGTTAAATTGTTAAAACTTGAAAAGTACATAAGTGATTTGAACAATTCTTGCACTAAAAAAAAAAAGCTTTTGGATTGGCCTTTCATATCATAGATTATGCTATATGCAGAACTTCTCTAAAATAATGGTCGCGGCATATTTTTTTAAATTTTTTTATTTCTTTTTACTCACCCTGTAGTTTGGCATAAATTATGTTTAAGTATAGCCAGGTCTGTGAGAACGGTGTGTGTTTGCTGAAGGTCGACAAGACCTGAACACAACATTGGATTTCGTTGACAAGTGAGAAACGATTCGGGTTGGCGAAAAACCCGGACTTTTACTCTTGGATTTTGTCAATTATTGGATCCACAATTAACAAATAGCTTATTTGCCGTACTCCGAAATTTAAAGAGTGATTTTCTGGAAAGTTGCTAATTGTATGGAAAAGTGGAAGATCGATCAGATCGTAACAGATTTCCGAGAGATGGAATTTGTAACAGCTATAATGGTTCTTTTTCTCTTTCAGTCTTATTTTCTCTTTCTTGTTTCCTCAAAACTATTTTTTTACACCAGACTGCGTGAGAGTCGTTGATTTGTCATAATACCACTTTATGATACCAATACTTTGTTATAACCAGTGGCGTATCTAGTGGGGGGGGGGGATTTTTTTGCCATTTTTTTGGTGTGTGTCAGCAATGATATGAAGTGTTTATTGAGTTCTTCTGACATCAACCCCACCAAAGAAAGCCCGCTCAACAACCATAACAATGCGCCGTGAAATTGTCCATATAATAATATAGTATACATAATAATGGAAAGTTTTGGAGAGCGCCCCCATTTGGAAGATGGGTACCCCCCCTTTTTGATTTTACAGAGTGCGAGTGTCCGGAGAAAAAAAATATGTCTACATTTCGGCGCGGATGTGCGGTTGCCCCCCCCCCCCACATCAAAAGCTGGATACGCTGCTGATTATAACACTTAACATTTAACATGTAATTTCTTTTCAGTAGTGCCATTTCTATCAAAAGTATTCAAAAGCGCTGTACAATGAAATACAATATTAGAAATTAAAACAAAGATAATTAAAACATTGATAAGGCACACACAAAGTATCCGGTTTTTGGTATGGAGCAAAACTGGTGCAGCGATACCAATACCACTAGATCACTGGATCATGGACAAGCAAAAGGACATGTTTGTGTTTGATAACGGTGCCTCTTAAAAAATGAGAGGATGTAACAAGAGGACATATTATTGTTTGATCGGTGGATGTTAACTGAAAGTAGGACACGAGCAAAATGCATATTATTATTTGATAAGCTGCTCTTTGCTCACGCGAAGACACAAACAAGAGGGCATATCGGTTTTTGATTAGTGGCTCCTTACTCACACAAAAACTAGCAGAGCCATTAGTGTTTGATTAGTGACTCCTTACTCACAAGAGGATGCAAGGTTAGTGTTTGATTAGGGCTGTGTTTAATAGGAAGGGGCGTAATCATACATGTCGCCACTACATTTTAAGTTAAATGGAATGGAGTTTGGCCGCCACCATGCATTTAAGTTTTTATCAGACT